GAAACAAACTGATGGCTCACAGATAAACCAACCCATATATTAATGAAAAAAAATATTATCGTGTTGAGTGGAGATCGAAATTGCTATCATCGGATGATGCATCAACATCATGAGGCTAATATAACAGGCTCATATTTATGATAATAAGTAAAATAATATTAGATAGTAAATATTATTAAACAAGTCGGTTAAGATGGCATGCAGCAGTAACAGTGGGAGGGCGGATCTGGGCTTGGCGGACTAAAAGTATTCGATTAAAAAAATAATGCGGTGTTAAAAAATAATCATAACTTTGATCGTCGCGGTTGTTCCAATCTATATTTAAACTAGTTATTGCCCCCGGCGACACACGTAGGCGTGGAACTTGTGATTATTTTTAAAGATACAGTAATTACTTTGGAGCGATCTAGACGAAACGGCGTGCATGTTAAGTTTTGATTATGTTGGTTAGGGAATCGCCTACGTAGGTAATGTGATAATAAATGTACGTAATTTAATGTTATGATTCTTGATAGAGTAGTAGTTATAATATATTTTTTTATAATACAACGAGCATACGGATTACCTAATGGTAAATGACTATCGCCGCCTATAAACACCCACAATGTTGGAGGAATTGCAGGTGTGCTGCCGGCCTTTTAAAAGGTAATATTGTCTTTTCTTGAAGGTTACTATATCGTATCAGTTCGGAAATACCGCTGCTGGAAGTTAATTGTTTCGGTTTTAATCTGTAATCTATATGATGGTGTAATGTTTATTTAAAGAAGATGGCGGTTAACATTTCACTCAGGTGCTCCGTCAGCTTGTTTGCTGATATAAAAAAAAATTTGAATATCAATAAAACTATGAAACAAGATACAGAAATCTGGACGTGGGGACATTCATCCATCAACGCAACACAAGTCCCGGCGACATCGAAATCTGTAAACGGTAGCTACAGAGATAGCATCAGCTTGTCTCTGCTCTGCTCGACCGACGCGACGCCATATTCTTTTTTTATTTTATTTTTTTCTCTTCGCCGCCGGGCAAAGGAACCGTGTTTCTTAATGTCGTTAAATTGTGGATTAAATTGCTATTGGCAATACATTAAACACAGCTGAATAAGTAAGTTATGATTTATAATGTTTTGTATGGCGTAATTGCTTTTATGATAATGTATTTAAAAGGCAAGATACGACGTTTGCTCTAAATAAAAAAAAAATACAAACGAATTGATGATGTTTGAAATACAGATGAATCATGATGATGACGATGATTTGAAACGATAATCTAGACCGTTGTTTTGACTCTTACTACCACTTAAAGGATCCATTTTTTTTTATCATCAATATTCATCAATACCGCTGAACAAAGGCCTCTCTCTGTTGGGGGATTTTTCCAATAGTAGCCACGCTTGGCAGGCGGATTGGCAATCGCAGTTCGACTTTGGTTATGTTTAAAAAGGGACGCTGCTGCCTATCCCTCGACCAGTAAGTTCCTTAGACACCTCCTACGACACCTACGGGAAAGAAAGAGCCATTCTATGCCAGGACCTACATGGCGAATGTACCTTTACATTGATCTATTATTTATCATTCCTATAACTGTACTTGAACCTCTTTCCAAGGGGGAAAGGGATTGTTAGTAATGGGTTCTAAAAGCTCCATTTCTAGCAATATACCCTATCAAGTCGACCTCCACGCGATTCCCCTTGGAAGCCATCGTGGTTAATTCTTGTCAAATTGTTCACGATGGGCCAACTGACCTGCCTTCATCTTCACCTATCATCTATCACTGGTGCCTCGCCAACGTATACTGATAGCGCAGGCGGGGTTACCGTTCCATTTTCATTAATAAAAAAAAACCTTTCCAGGCAATGAAAGCTTGCACATGTAATACAATGGCAAATTGAATTAGCCAAACGGTAATATAATTGTAGTACAATGAGCCGAGCACATCCCGGGATGCCAGATCGCGTGTTGTCAATTAAATAAATTGCCCGTAATGTTGCCGGTAATAACTTACGTATACCCGTCGAGGTTTTAGCAAACTTTCATCGCTGGCCTGAGTTTTGAGTGGAGCGAAATATGAGAGACCAGTGACCCGTCCTCGCTTTGTACCGGTGCAAGCTGAATGAAGGTGAATCAGGACCTTTCCTCGTCTATGGAGGAAGGTTACGTTCGTCACAGTGGTAGTAGTGGAGAGTGATGATAAGTATCAAATAAAATGTTACATCTCACCAAAGGATATTCGACGCTATTGTCTTTATGTAAATAAGGTTGAATATGAAAAATGTTGATTCCAATGTTTATAAGGTACAGCCCACTTGCCAATATGAATGAACGAACGACTAGCCGAATGGAGTAACGGTCGTAATTTATTTCTACATTTCAATAATAAAACCACCATAAAGTGGTTTAGTTTAGGTGATACGGAACCCAATTTTTTTTTAATGGGTGAAAATGGAATGATAACCCCGCCTGCGCTAACGGGATAAGCTGGCGGAGCACCAGTGAAGGATGATAGATGAGAATGAAAACAGACCAGTTAGCCCATGATGATGAATTCATCAGGAATTAACCATGACAGTTGCCAGGGGGAACCGCGAGGAGGTCGACCTGGTTGGGTATATTGCTAGCAATGGGATTCTCAGTCTCCATTACTAACAACCCCTTCCCCCCTAACAATCGTATATATCCTATAACTTATACCACACTGCATTCAGCCATTGCATGCATTGTAAAATTCCTGGTAACATCATTATTGCGAGCGAGTGGCAACACCGGCAACGCATGCGCACAATGCTTTAAATTGTTATTGCGCGGTTTTGGGACGTGCGACTTCCAATACGTAACTACAGCTCGATATTTCAAAACAAAACCATGAGCGCACGCGAAATATGTAAGCCTTTTGTTTAATTTAAAACTCTTGCAGTTAAAACATTGATCCTATTTGTTATTATTCAAACTTATTTTCAAATTTAGACTTATTATTTTAACATCCGTATGTCGACTTATCTGTCTGTTTTTATATCATACTAGCTGACTCGGCAAACGTTGTTTTACCATATACGTTATTTCGAGAACTATACATGAAAATTTATCCTACTACAATTATTATATTGGATTGCCATCTTGCAACCCTATTGCGGAATATAAAAATCGTGATTAAAAAACAGGAGTTGATCGTAAAATGGTGAAAATTTGAGGTTGTATGTATTTTTCAATGCTAAATCATAATAAAATAAAAATAAAATTATTTGTCAAAAAATTAAAAAAAAAAATTAAGTGTGGATCACCTTTATCATTGAGGGGTATTAAAAATAGATGTTGGCTGATTCTCAGACCTACCCAATATGCACACAAAATTTCATAAAAATCGGTAAAGCCGTTTCGGAGGAGTTTGGTAACAACCACCGCGTCACGAGAATTTTATATATTAGACTAGTGGTCGCCCAGTGGTCGAAATTCGACCACAACATATATTGTAATAAATTAATTTATTACGGTTATGTTTGACATTCAGTAAGACTATAGACAAATAATATTAAAGACAAAAAATATTAATCTATTCTCAATTTGACCGCAGACTTTAACAATAGACAAAAGAGTATATATGCGTGTGTGTGTTAAATACATGGTATTTTTTTTTATTAGTTTGATAATTATTTTTTATCCATAATTAAAAAAAATTAGCATTCTGCACTCCTTCTCTATATTAATTACAAGTGTACCAAATTTTATATTATTCCAATGCGAAATTTTCGTAAAAAGTAGCACAAAGTTTTTGATATATAGATTCTTGTCATTAAACGCCAACTCTTGTCTATTGCGACACATTCCTAAGCCTGGAAATTTATGTCGCTAAGTCTATAAAGATTTGCGTGTATTGTAACTTTCATTGCATATTTAAAAGGACCTTACACTTGCAAGTAAAAGGATGCGAATAAGAAATTTAACTGCAGCTTCAGAAAAGGACAGAGTTATTGCAAGGTAATAAAAAATAATAAAGAGTTTTACGTAACAATTTCTCAATCTAGATGTACATGTTTACAGCTTGGCTACAGTAGTTGGTTTATGTCCATAAATCTTTGAGGCCAGTTTTTATTTGGATTGGTGAGTAAATGTAATAAGTATTCTCAGTTGAGTTAAACTTTCTTGTAGTGTCTAAACAACAATAGATATTCGAAAATTCTAGAATTTTCTAGTTATTGGAATAAGAAGTGTGCATTTACATATTAATTTTATTTTAATTTAATTTTTTTTTATTTTTTTTTATAATAATAATAATTTATTTGGAATTAATATATTAATATAATATATCGGATCATGAATGGGACTGATTGTTGAATTTTTTATATATATTTTTTTATTTTGTGATTCTGTGAAATGTATATACGTAGAAAAGATATAAAATAAATAAATATGCCCACGACTATTAATATAATGTTGTTATATACTATTGTATTAAAATAAAACTTTTCTATCAGTGACACGTCACCATCATTATCATCATTTCAGCCATTATCCGTCCTGTGCTGGACGTAGGTATCTCCCATAGACTGCCATAAGGAACGGTCCTGAGCCACCTGTATCCATTGACTTCCTGCAAAGTATTTGAGGGCGTCACTCCATCTAGTGCGGGGTCGTTCTATACTGTGTTTGTCCATACGGGGTCACCACTCAAGAACCCATCGGTTAGTGACACATACAGAATAATAATAGTACCAGTAGTAGTGCTACACAATCACACCCATGGCCTAGATTACAAGATAGGATAAATGTGTTATGACTCTTAACCTATATACAACGGCAACGAATATTTGAGGGCACAACCTAGTACATCCAAACCTCAGCCAATTCAGAAAAGTTTGTATCTTTAACTGACCCGACCAGGAATCAAATCGAGGACCTCATTTCTACAAAGCAACAAGCCCACCACTGCGTCACGTAGATCGTCATTTAGATAAAATTGTTATTTTTATAGTTAAAGATAAAAAGATTTGTTTAAAATGTACTTACTCATTACAGCAGGTGGTGGTGCTCTGCGTGACGGTGACCAGCGTTGTCGTAGTCGTCGTCAATTTATCGCCAATGCACTTCTTCCTCGAACACTCATCCAGCACTTTATCCTCCTTCAAAGGCTGTAACACTTCTTTAACTTTATTCGGCCCAGACTTCACTGTCGACCTTTGAAACCTAAAATTAGCTAATGTCTTCCCATCAGTTGATATTTCAGTATCTTCGGTCACTATCGCGCCCTTTTTAGTTCTACACACTGTCTTTGTTGATTTGCCAAACACATTGCCTTTTCTGAGTATCTCTTCTTTAGAATCTAATAATTGTTTTGATTTAGATTCCAGAGGTAGACCGTTCTCTAACATACTCTTTATACTATCTGCAGTTATACTTGAGCCTAATATTTGATCTAGATCTGCCGTGTTCATATACTCTTCGTAGTTTTGCTGTATAGGTTGTCTTCTTTGGTCTCTTTGCCATGTCGTTTGATTATCAAATCCATATATAGGTTCAGATTCAACTCCAAACGTGAATTCTTTTGTATTATCAGTTTCTGTCTCATCAGGTGCTGGTTCTATTTGTGTAGTTAAATTATTTTCGAAAAAATCATCCGTTAACTCAGTTATTTGTGCTCCGGGACGTTTGGTATCGATTGACTCGAAATTGATGAAGTTTGTGTTGAGGTTATTGATCTTTCTCTTTCCATATAGTTGTCTGTAGTATTTCTCTTGATCGCCGTGCATCCAACACACTTTCCACCACTGTTTGCACATAAGTATATTCGCCGAGTTCGATGATTTCACATGACGAGTGGCCGTCGCAGACATTTTGCTGTATCACTGACACAGAACAAGGTAAGTAGTTAGAGGGATTGATTGCATAGATTCAGATTGCAATGATGAATTGACGTTTTTTTATTTGATGATGTTGGTTATTGTATAATGACATTGGAAAATTAGTTGTCATTTAATAATAAGGTCTCGTTATTGTGTTCAAAATATTTCAATTCAAGTACAAATACGCACAGGAAGTTACTCATTATTCTTTTAGTGTTATCTAAATATTGGTTAACGGATGTTATATATCTTGTATATTTACAATATTCAGTGATGAATCTGAGAAGATCTAAAGATCAAATCCAAGTTTACAATTTAAAATTTATCAAGTTTATGTATGGATAATTTGAAATGGACTGCCATTTGCTTTGTGTTTCTATCTATTTACAATCTATATCAACTTAGTTATACGATTTTTATGGGGACTGTTTTTTAAACAGTGACGTCAATTACGTCAAATGTCTTCGTGATTAATGAATGCTGCCTAGAAACTATTCATATCAGAAGGTACCACCATCACAAGAGTGGTTAACTACTGCTCCATAGAGGATTAAATCTACTTTAAAATCTTTTGTAACAATAATTTAATTATATATTCTGTAATTTTAATGGTGTTGTTTATATTTAGGCAGCTTCTTTGCTATAATATTTATTCATTTAAATAACTTTATTGGCCAAATGAAAATATGATACAAAAAGCTGACTTAATGCTAGTAGCATTCTCTACCATTCAACCTTTGGAATGTACAGTGAATCACGAACGCGGTACATCATTATTAAATTCAAATTCAAATCATCTCAATAAAGATGATTAATATAATTAATTATAGATATAATTAAATAAAGATAATAAAATAAAAATTATAATAAATTTGATTACAAACACTTTTAAATCGTTATTGTTTTTAAACCTACTGCAAGGTTTGGAAATTTATTATCTGTTGAGAAGAGCCCGCAAGAAACTCAACAGTTACTCTTTTAAATCTCTGTTAACATTATAGAATAGAATAGAAACATTTATTGCTAGTAAACACACAATTACAATATAAAATATAAATAACATATACAAAAAGTGTCCCACACCCGGCAAAAGGAACCGGCTCAGCTGATGCTGTGAGTGTCCCAGCGCAATGTGAACGGCTGCACAGCGCTGGTTTACAGCCAGTCCCTCTATTAACAAAACATAACCAAACTGCTGGGTACCACTGTAAATTGTTATTTGTATTTTTAAATTTTAAATAAATTACGTGTATTTAGTTAAATGTACTATGTCTAAAATTACATGGTCATTAAAAAGCCCGTGCATGATCAACTAACACCATACACGCTTTCATTGAAGTAATCGTTTAGGAGTTAGGTTTAGGATTAGGATAGGAAATGATAAAAACCTATCTTATATGTATACGAATTGTTGAAAATCATTTTCAAAATCATCCGAATCGTTTAAAAGTTCTAGTTTTTAATATTGAAGTTATTTTTTTAAGTCACAGATGTGATCAGCTATATTAGCCTTCTATCAGTGGTTTTCAATCTTGCCCCGTGATGTTCCGCGTGCCGACATCCTCTGTTATTACTGACACTTCAAAGTGGTTCGACTGGCATTTGCCGCTGATTCCTGGGTTAGATCCAGTAAATTATTATGAATCATAGTACTATAATAATTGATTCGTCGTATATTTTATCATGTCTTTTAGATGACAGGATTAGAGTGTATTTAAAATGAGATCAATTAGGGAAAATTATTACTTGGTTTGAAGACAATTGTCTAGTTTTTTTTCTGTGAAAAATTTTGAGATTAAATAAAAAAATTAAAAAGTATGATTAAAATCAATTCAGAATTGGTAAGAATATAACGTAATATAAATAAAATACACATGAATTGAAAACTTTCCTTTTTTAATACTGACAATTCAAATAAAAGTTATTAATACTTCAAGAACAGTAGTATCTGATGACGATGTTCTTAAATCATCATACTATAATTGAGAACACAGTGTAATAAATAACAGACAAAATCTAGACAACGGATAGTTTTCATCAGAACACAATTAGACGGTAAATCACATTGTGCAGGAGAGTCGAGGTAAAATAAATAAAACTTAATGGGATATAACCGCAGAAGCGAAATGAAATTGTACTGTAATCAAGCCTTCCAGACTATAGTTTGCCGTTAGCTCAGTTGCTCTGTTGAAGAAAATATGCGAACAATGAACTAATATTAATGGAATTTATACTAGATATAAACAAACGTTTAGTTGAAATGACCATTAAAAAGCGTTTTCTATTATCAAGTTTGAACAAAAGTCTTATAGTTGTATTCGTAATTATTGTAGGTGCGACCCGAAATCAAGACATTGAATTTAAATTTGGTCATAATGTGATATTTCTGTGTACACATGTGTATATATTTATAACATGAATGATGACGTGTCTTTACATAAATTGTAGTGTTGAAATGGTGTTTTATATCTAAATTCACGCCAAATCCTTTGCAGAGCGAACCAAGTGTTGTTTACTTCTATCTTTACATGCCATTCTTTTATAATTCATTTCACTAATTCCACAAACTTGATTCTTTCCTCTGATGAATCTTTCTGATTTTTATAATTTAGTTAAGACCGTTCCTAATATCATTCTGTTTTGTCAATCATTAATATGTTACTAGTTTTTACCAATGACTTTGTTCGCTAGACCGGGATATGTTTACTTACCCGGAGAAAAAGTAACCTATATCTTTCTTCATTCTATATAGTACTTGTATACCAAATTTCATAGTGATTAGTTAAGACGTTATAATGTAACAAACAAATAAACAAACTCAATACTAAATATTAATAAGGATTTTTTGCAAATGGTGGATTTTGGAAGATATTTTTAGCCGATACAAACAACATACACAAATAATTCATTTATTCAAGATAAATCATCGTAATCAGAACCCTTCCATATACCATTGTTATCTTCTAAAATTGACTTAAAATTACAGCTGATAGGGGCTACAGCAGATGCTATATTTTCATTGTTCCCCATCAGCTATAATTTCTAGGTACACTTTTGTTCTTCCTACGCACGTCGTGTTTCAAACAATAAAATCATCTTTCAATCAAGAGATAAATTAATATCATAGTAATTTTAGATCGCGATACGGTTCGAAATTGGATCGATAAAGATCTAGAGCCAGTAATGTTTGAGCAACTCTAATTAGCAGCGGTGGTTGAGGCTCGACGCATTACAATTACGATGCTATCGTCGATCCTAGCGATGATCCTAGCGTAAGAATTTCGTATATTCTGCCTTGATTGGTGAGACATGCTACTTTGTAGATGACCAGTAATCTCGCTGTTCTTATTTTAAAATTAGACAAACGTAATACTTATTAGTAATCACTACTTTTTTTTTATTTAAGATTTTCCTCTTTTGAGGCAACTAATTCACGCAATTTCTTCCAGCCAGCTCTATCCCAGGCCATATCTTTGACCTCTTTATTCGACACGACACCTTTTGGTTTCTTCGTCTGTCCCATGTAATTATTTCTCGTTAATTAATAAACACTATGTTAATTAAAAAAAGAACGCACCGTTAGGTAGACGAGATGATTCATAGAGGTGTCGATTTAAAATATTGGAATTTAGAACGTAGAGTCGTGCGTCGAATGTAGAGGAATCTTCAAGTGGTACATAATGATACGACAAGCAGGATTTTAATTTGCAAAAAACAATATAGATCACATTGTAATTTAATCCATCATTTACAGAAGTAAACCCTATTGAAGTCGCGAATTGACCATATAATCGCGTAATATAGTCACAATCATAGGTCGTGTGGTTCCGGCAAACAATAGACTGCCCTTTCTCCCCCTTCCTTTCCCGTGGATAATGAAGGAGACGACTAAGGGAACTTGAGGGATGAGCAGCAGCGTCTCTTGTAAAACATAACCAAAGTTTAACTGCGGTTGCCAATCCGTTCGCCAAGTGTAGCAATTGCTAGAAAAACCTCCCAATAGGGAAAGCCCTAAGCAGTGGACAGATAACGCCTGATATCATCATTATAGTGGGGGGAAGGGGATTGTTAGTAATGGAGACTAAAAATCCCATTGCTGGCAATATACCCAACCAGGTCGACCTCCTCGCGGTTCTCCCTGGAAACTATCATGGTTAATTCCTGATGAATTCATCATGATGGACTAACTGGCCTGTTCTCATTCTCATCTATCACCCTTCACTGGTGCTCCGCCAGCGTATCCCGTTAGCGCAGGCGGGGTTACCATACCATTTTCATCCACCAAAAAAAAATCATCATTATATTTACAAAAAAATATATATATTAAAACTTCTACTAACTTCTTGTTTAGGAAGTCGTTTAAAAAATTTAAAAATATTGCATATTATTATGGTAGTCACATAAAAAATAACACAATACTCGTAAATTTGTACACATTCTTAATCCGTTGTTTTCTAAATGTTAACTTGTTTTCGCCTATATACCTTTTTTTTTTTTTTTTTTTTTTTTTTTTTTTTTTCTTTTTCTAGTCTGCTAATTGGCAATCTGTTCCTTATAGAACAATAATCCAATCTGCTGTTTGGATGTCAGGTTTAAATTTTAATAAATGATGAGGCCAATCCATTAATCAGCTCTCAGTCTCTGCCTGTAAATCTTTCTACCAGTCCTTGGATACTGTGTCTTTTTAATCGAGAGAAACTAATGCTTCCCGATCCCTGTAATTGAGCGGCCAATTCGTTTCTATGGCTGTTCAATCTGGACTGATAGTTTTTGCTGAATGTCTCGATTTCCTGTTTTATCGTTTTTAGTTTGATGTCCATATACATAAATTTATTACTTATGTATTGTGGTATATTAAGCATGTTTCTTATTGTCTTATTTTGAAACCTTTCCAGTATTTCTATATTGCTGTTACTAGCTGAGCCCCAAAGCTGTATGCCATATGTCCAAATAGGTTTGATGATGGTTTTGTATATGGTCATTTTGCAATCATGTGTCAGTCG